TTAGTAGGGTTAAAATTGTATGAAATAAATATATTATTGGTAATATAAGTCTAGGACAGCTATATATTTGTTTTGTAAATATTTCTGTGAATTTTTTCACATTTCAAGCATCATTATGAAACTAGAGTTAAAAATAGGAAAATACAACTTTAGCAGGGGATTTGTCTCTGGAAATGCTTATACATTTTCATAAAAAGCTTCACTGAAGGAAGACTAATTATAGGCTTTGATATGCACCTGGGTGAAAATTAACTTTTAAGCAGCCTTAAAATAAATGGGTTTTAATTATTATCATTATGCAAAAGCTGCATAAATGCCTTTAATTGTACTTATAAAGTCAGATTTGCTGTAATCACCTCTAATATCCTGAAGCAACCACAGGATTTAGTTTTTAGTTTCCCCTTCCCCTCCCCCCAAAATTATAAACTCTCATTTTTGCTTTATTCACATATCAGGTTTTTATTAACTATGAACAGATATGTAATAACTGACATACATCAGTAATTAAAAGTTAACATAGAATAAATCTACTTATTTAAAAATGAACTTAAATTATCTTTGAAACCCACTTAATCACTGAAAGCTAAAGATCAATACATAATATACTCAACTTATCTATATATATATGATTTGATTAGGTGTATACAATGGACATAATATTTTAAACAAATTAGATGGAACATATTAATCTTAAACAAGAGTATTTTCATTATATATGCGGGCACCAGGTAACACTGTAGAATAAACACTGAACTGCTAACCACAGCTAAAACCCATAAGAAGCTCTTCATGAGAAATCCTATACATGGTCGCTATAAGTCAGAATCATTTATCTATCTATCTATCTATCTATCTATCTATCTATCTATCTATCTATCTATCTATCATTTGTTCGTTGGTTCGTTAGTTGGTTCGTTCGTCCATCCTGGTGTGAGGCTGTGGGTTGATGCGCCAGACTGCAAAGTCATTAGAACTATAAGGTCGGCGGTTCAAGCTCACCAACTGATCCTCAGAAACCCTATACAGGATCGCTATGGGTCGGAACTGATTCAATGACACTTAACAGCAGCAACTTATATGTGTGAATGTGTGTGTGTGTGTGTGTGTGTGTGTGCGTGTGCATGTATATATTGCTGTTAAGTGTCGTTAAGTCAGTTCCAACCCTTAGCGACCCTGTATTGGGTTTCCAAGGAGTGACTGGTGCAATGTAAAAGTTAGACTATTAATGAGGATTGTGGAAAAATGAATGCATTTGAATTATGGTGTTGGAGAAAAATAGAATGTACCATGGATTGCCATAGGAAAAAACATATCTGTCTTGGAAGAAGTACAGGCAGCATGTTCCTTAGAAGCAAGGATGGGGAGACAGCATATTTAGTACTTTGAACTTGCTGTCTGGAAGGACCAAACCCTAAAGATGAAGGTCATGTTTGGTAAATTGAAGGGTAACTCTCAAGGAGATGTTCAATTGTGGCTCAAACATAATTTCACTTGTGAGGGTAATGTTTTGTTCTGTTTTGCTTAGAGTCAGGCAATGATTTGCTATATTTTGCTTAGTATTGCTATGAGTTGAAATCAACAACAATAACCTAAAATCCAGTTGACAAGGGATATTAATAAATGTAAGTCCTTGAGATTCAGAGCAAAGCATGAACATAGGGAAAATATAGGTGAATTATTTGATTCCAAATGTATTATTTTATACTCAGGTATAAGGGATTGTGTGCAGGAGTCCTGCTCTCTGCAGGGGTCGTGGGACACGAGTGAATATGCGGAATCATAGGATGAAGAAATGAATACAATTCGAGAGGCTCTTCTTCTTGTTGTGCTGTCCGGCTATTCTCTCCAGCTTCTGCCCCTGGTTCTGCTTTCTGCTCTCTGCTGTCTGCCCTCTGCTCTCTGCTGTATGTTCTCTCTGCTGTCTGCCCTCTGCCTTCTCCCTCCTGCTCTCTGCTTCTTCTGCCACTTCTACTTCCTTCTTCCTCTACTGCCTTCTGCCACTTCTGCCTCTACTCCTGCTCTCTGCTTCTGCTCTTTCTCCTTTCTCTGCCAGCCCAGCTCAGCAAGTCTTCATTTTTTATACTTAAAATTACACAGTACATGCATTGACACTTTTATCTTTTCTTGAATTATTACACAGTTAGTCACAACATTCTTGCACTTGGTCCTTAGACAACTTTAACAAAAATACTCTGTGATGTTCAGATTGACCATCATCTCCTTTCCCAGTATGAGATAAAACTGTTTCTACTAAAAGATTATAAACTTTCTATCCTACATAATGTGCTATTATTTTCATAATAAATGTATTCATTAAATCACTTGGAAGCTATGTGGCATAAAGCCCAACCTGGCTACTTGCTGCAAGAAGTGTAGATTGTTAGGTCAAAACTATCCTTCACTTAAGTTCATTATTGTCTACTTGTTTATGCAGGTGTCTATATGTAGGGGTTTGTGAATTCTAGCTAGTGACTGAATGCGGTGAGGCCTATGGGGGTAGGTCAGCTTGACTCTAATATGCTATTTGTTTTTGTGGCCTCACAAATGCAGTTACTTAGGTTTTCTAATGAAAGGGAGTAATTTATACAATTTCTCTTTGTATTCAATCCACCAAAGCTGAAAGCAGTTGCTGTTAAGCTAGTTTTTCCTAAGGTTTGTAGAATTCATAGTGAAAGCTGTGAATATTGTCAAATTATATATTTTTATAAGTAAAAGTAAGATTACTCTATAAGAAAGCAACTTCTGAGAGCTATCTGTTTTGCCAGACCACTCCACTATTTACCAGAACTGTGTCAAGCGGCAAATCGAAGCTGTCCTCTACCCTCATCAGGCCCCAGCAATTGTGGAGTTACCAAAGAAAGACAAGCAAGGATAAGGATGAGACAGGAGTATCTCAAGCAACACAAAATGTAAACCTGTATCCAACTGCCATTTTATTTATGGTCTCTCAAGAAAAGGACATTTGGTATTTACCACCATCAAGTGGAAGTTCAGTTGCAGTGTTTTTTGGTAAAAGATTGATTTTGTTGTTGAATACCATCAAGTTAGTTCTTTACAGAGTTTCCAAGGAGGGGATAGTGAGTTTGAGCAACCAATCATGTGGTTCAAATGAGACACTGACTCTTTAATATCTTTGTTGCTAACTTCTTGTTATGTGCCATCGAGCCGAGCCAGTTCTGACTCATAATGACCCTGGATACAGTTTCAAAATTGAAAATTAAATATTACTAAAAAAAGAAATATACATCAGTTAAAATATTTTAAAGACACTTCATTTATTTATTTTTAAACTGAGATACTTTGGTCTGGTTAAATTCTAAATGTTTTCTAACTCTGAAAATATATAAAAATGGGACAAGATAGCTTCAGTAGAGCTCTCAAATTATCTTCATATGTTACAAAATACCCTGAGTAGAATAAGGTAAAAATTAGAATTATATGTACTCTGTGAAATTGTAATAATGTGTGTGAATATGTATATATGAAATAATAGGAGCACCCCTTACAACATTTTATAATTATTTTAAAATGTGTTGCATTAACATACTTTAAAATGGGTAAAATAAAACAAAACAACAACAAACTTTAACTCCATAACATTCAAGAGTATATTTCTTTTTTTCATAATATTAATCATCTTTTTTGGTTGAAATTATGCATGCATATTTATATGCAAAAGTCCCTGATGCAAACAATTTATGCTTGGCAAGTAATCAAAATATTGCTGGTTCAAATCTACTAGGGTTGACATGAAAGAAAAGGCCAGAGGATTTTTTTCTGTAGACAAAACAGCCAAGAAAATCCTGCTTAATATTTCTACTCTGTAATAAATGGGATTACAATTAATTGGATTTTACTGTATGGAATAGACACCAGCAAAAATAACCTGTATAATTTCTCTCAAACACATAAGTTTTGATAGGACAAAGACATTTTTAAAAAAAACAACATTTTCAAAAATCTTTCCACTAAATGTTACAATAAACTCTCTCTTTTCTTTTCTCCATCATAATAACCATTGCAAATAAATTATATATATGACATCATAAAATGGGTGCCTTATGGATACTTTACTCAAAACATATGGCTAAGTACTAGTTTTTTACTTATAATCTGTTATTGTTAAGTCCATGGAGTTGGTTCTGATTCATAGTGACACTGAATAGGATTTCCTATGAGCAGTTGATGGGTTTGAACTGCAAACTTTGTGGTTAATTAGTAGTCCAGTACTTATCATACAGGTATAATTTTCATAAGAATTTGAACCAGTAACAAAAGATATTTGACACTACTAAGTAACATATTGAGTAATAAAAAAATTCTACTATTAAAATAATATATGCAATTCAAGTGATTTAAGTGTCCCAACCTTAACAAATATTCATTTTAGAATATGAATGTATTTATTGATTTATGAAAATTGTTTTTTGGAATATTTAATGAAGTTAAAAAGCATTGTTTAAGCACAGATGACTTATAAATACATTCAGTGCTATATGTGGAGCTCTGGCAGCTCTGTGGGTTAGTTTTCCTACAAGGGGGAAGTAGAATAAAACCCACCAGAAACTCACAGGAGAAAGGTCAGTCTGTCTGTTTCAGTAAAGATTTGCAGTTTCTGAAATCCTGTGTAGGTCAACATACATCAAAATTAATTTGGTAGTAGTAGGTTTAGTTTTGAATTATTTTTCATTAATTTTACTTGTAATTTAAAGTTTAATTTGCATCAATTTATTATCTAAATTTTTCTCAATGATAAATTTTATACGATAATTTTGCTCAATAAAAAGTACTGTGATGTTTTGAATTTCTTGATTATAATGTCCTGATATGCTTTCTTGTTGTTGTTAAGTGCCATCGAGTTGATTTCGACCCATAGCGATCCTGTATACGGCTTCCAAGGAGCAGCTGGTGAACCTCTGACTTTGCAGTTCATATGATTTTAGTTAAGTCTAATTTAGTGAGTTTCTATATTGCTATTCTGTATATAAGATCACTTTTTTTTACAATATAAATGGAATCATTGCTGATTTCCTATGCATATAAGGATGGAATTTCTTCAGATAAAACTTATGTTTCTTTTGTGCCCACAAAGACATCTGGATACTCATCAGAAGTGTAAAAACTCCAACTAGAAGGAAAAAAATATGTGTTTATACATTTATTTGTTTCTGTTATGGAGACAGTATATTTTAAACTTCATATATATTTAAACACTTCTTAAATGTTAAATTACTATCAATTGTAGCTCCTGATACTCACTGTCTAATATACTATATGTTCAATCAATACTGCATGAATAAATAAACATAGGAAATAAGTAGAGTTCAAAATAAACTCATATTAAATAAAAGTCTCCTACGACTATAAAATCCACCACTTGTCTGTCAGTTTGTTGTACTGTGGTGGCTTCATTCTTCTTGAATCAACTATCCACACTCATGGAAGCACCAGTCAAGAACTTAAACGACATATTGCATTAGGCAAATCTGCTGCACAAGAACTTTTTGAAGTGTTGAAAAGCAAAGATGTCAGCTTGAGGGCTAAGGTGCACCTGACATGGTATTTTCAATAACCTCATATGCATGCGAATGCTGGACAATGAATAAGGGAAACTGTAGAAGAATTAATGCTTTTGAGTTATGGTGTTGGCGGAGAATGTTGAAAGTGTCATGGCTGCCAAAGGAACCAACAGATCTGTGTCAGAAGAAGTGCAAACAAAGTGCTCCTTAGAGGCCAGGATAGCCAAACTTCATCTCTAATACTTCGGACATATTGTCAGAGGGACAAGTCACTGGAGAAGAATGCCACGTTTGGTAAGGTGGAGGGTCAGAGAAAAAGAGGATGACCCCCAGCAAGATGGATGGGCAATATGGCAGCATCAATGGGCTCAAGCATGGCAACAACTGTGAGGTTGGCCCAGAACTGGGGAGTGTTTCATTCTGTTCTGCATAGGGTCACCATGAGTCAGTACTGACTCTATGGCACCTAATAACAACAACAACTACTACTATAAAATAATCTCTAATACTGAATTATCTTTATTTCTTTGAATTTTCAATAATTGCATATAAACATATATAAATTACATGAATCATACTAAATGTGGTTTAAACAATTTGTATAGCACAACAATAGGTTTGAATATGTGAAGCCCATGTATTTTGACTCTTCAATTTGTCTTATAATGTCCAGCATTCAAGATTACACATCCATCCTCCCCAATTCTTCCTTCATAGACACTCAGGAGTACTTGGAGACATAGCATATGCAAATGCCCATACACACACACAAAAAGTAGCTTCTAGGGAAATGCATTATTATGACTACTGACTTTTGTTTTGAGTTCACTGTTTAATAAATATTTGAACTAAATGCCTTAGTCTTAATTAAATAGCAATTATGCAACAATACATAAAAATAATTATATTTTATTATCGCTAAAAATATAAGATAAAAATGTAAACATACTTTTAAAAGCATGCAAATTTTATAAGTGTAACAATTTGTTCACAGACATCATTTCTTCTAATATATGTTAACTTTAATTAATTACCAATAAACTTAAATCTTACCTGGCAGTGTTTGTGTCATGATTGTTAAGCTAATCCATGATCCAATCTTTCACAATGAAACAAAAATGAATAGGAATATATGAATAAAATTGTAATTTGTTCATTTGTAACATAAAACAGGTAATTTAAAAGTAAATAAATGAATGTAAATCTGTTAAGTAAGGATACATTTCTAAAGTGGTCAATACAATTAAAATATAAAGGCATTAAAATCAAATAAAACACTAGAAAATGCATAAGAAAACTGGCACAGTTTCCCCAAAGATAAATTATAAATTAAAGTCCTAAGACATTTTATATGAATATTATTAAATCTTCCTTAAATATAGAACAAAATAACATTTTCTTGTTGGTAGCATTATGATTGAAATGTTTCAATTTTCTATGCCTAAAACAGGAATTGAATTCTATATAATAATCTAAATACTTAACTATGACAATAGATATGTTTAAAACATATATATATATATATACATATATATATAAACTTGCTCATTAATGTTAATTTATAATATACATAAATACAACAAAAGTTACATTTAGTATATCATGAAATAAATTTCAACTATTTATAAACACAAGTAGCTTACCTCATAGGTGTAGTTAGGACATGAAACTAAGGCAAATAGCCATGTGAATGGGTTATAAGTTGGATTTGGAAAACAGGCATTATTTCCTTATAAGGAGAGAAATGTCAAAGATTTTACAAATTGCAAATTTGGTCATATACTTATTATCTAATGCTAATTTCAGTAGTACAGTTATATACCACTTGAAATGTCATCCTATATTTATAGCAATCTACTTCTCAAATTAATCAAAAGAGTTCCAACTTAAAATGCCATGATCTTTTGACTCTAATAGGTTATCTGTCATTTTCCGACCATGGTTGTAGCTAAGATGAAGTAAAATTATGAAATAAACAATGATAGTCATTTCTTCAAGTGTTTAATCAAAATAGGATATAAAGTGTACTTATATAATATTTAAACCAGGTTACATATTAAGATTATAGAACATGTTTTTAAATATTATATATTTTCAGGTTCTCTTTTAGTATCGAGATGTACTTGTTTGAAAACATTAAACAATTCAAACTTACTTTGTATTAAATAAATGAGAATCCACATGGAATTTTATAAGAACATCACGCATACCAGAGATGTGTGAAAATCTCTCAAAAGAGGATTACACTGAATATCAGTTCAGTTAATGTTCAGAAATACTGCATAAATAATTTCTGGTTAGCTATCAGAATTGTTATCTATAGTTCTCATTATACGTAGCATGTTGTCATTTGATTTTTGTTAGTTTTTTTACCCCCTTTTCAATTTTCTTCAAGAAACATTTTAGATAACAAATTTATAATGATTTCAAGCTGAACTTTGAGCTGTGACATTTGTAAAAGTAAATGTGATTTATGAAATTACTGTTTTATTCTCCATAGCAAGATTTAATCAGATAACAAATCAAATAATCTTTTAGTTATAGCTCTAAAGTCATAATAAAATGTCAGTTGACTACTTTGAAAATTGTATCGCAATGTCAAAGAAGGGGAAAAGGTATTATTCAAGAATTCAAGCACTACTCATTTCAAGATGCGGTAAATATGTAAATCACTATAATTTGAACGTATTTGTGTACTATCCATATATCCATCAAAAGAAAAGTAATTTGAAGAACTACCGAAGTTATTATACATTTTAAAATTTAAAAATGTGAAATAATCTGAATTAAGATCTACTAATTTATTAATCGGAAACCCTGTACAGGGTCGCTATGGGTCGGACCCGACTCAATGGCACTTAACAACAACAACAACAACAATTTATTAATCTTCAGATCTTGATGTTGTTAAGTGCCATCGAGTCAGTTCCGACCCATAGCGACCCTGTACAGGGTTTCCTAGGGTATAAATCTTTATGGGAGTAGAAAGCCTCATCTTTCTCCCATGGAGCATCTGGTAGTTTCGAACCGCTGACCTTAAGGTTCACAGTCCGATTCGTAACCACTACGCTACCAGAGCTCTCTTCAGATCTTGATGGTGGAAGAATAATCATAAACCCATAATCCACAGTGTTTCCAGATGCAGTTTCTAGTTAAATAACTAATATGTCTTATGAAACACACATGTATATATAGATTATATCAGTCCAGCACACAGAGTACCAGATTGCAATAATATATAATTTACAAGTTCACTAATTTAATACTGACATTGTTGTTGTTAAGTTCCATTGAGTTGTTTAGACTCATAGCTTATATTAAATAAAAGTCTGAAGGTAATTTTTAGTGTTTTGTTTTTATGTAAAGTAAAGTATTGCATCACCTAGATATCTCTTCAGGAACATAGGTATTTTAAAAAACTCTTGCTTTTTAAAAATCTACTTTAGCAACTTAATTTTTATGGAAGACCTTTATTAATATCTATTTCACTCACTGAAAGAAATCTAAAGAGAATATTTACTTTTAGTGAAAAAAAATGTGCACAAATGATGTGGGAGCCATGTCTGACTTCTTTTGGCTTCCCAAGGAGTAAGAAGAATCTAACTCAAAACAAATCTAAGGAAGATCCCTGTGATAGTGGAAGTTAGATATGCCTGCACACTACACATTTCATTTTTTTTTGTGTGTGAAAATTGGTTTAATATCCTGCTTTCATTTCCATGCCAAATTGCAGAGCAGATGTCTGATTAGCGTTAAAAAGCAGTCTACAGGCCAGTGAACAACCCAGGTCAGGTGTTAAGGCAACAAGAAGGGATCCTGTAGCCTCCTAAAATCAGCTCCCATGTGTCCCCCAGGTCTTCAGCACACAGTCGCTCTCCCTGTGTGGATCTCAAGTCTCCAGCTGCTCCATCGCTCCACGTCATCATCTCTGGCTCTATTTCAGGCATCACTGCTTCTCTGGGTAGGGTCCTGCTCTCAGCTCTTCTTCATTGATGGTCCTAGGGACCTCCGCTCTACCTTTACATTTCTGACCCTAACATTCAGTCTTGATAACAATTATTCACTATTGTATCACAAAAGACCGTTTTGTATTTTATTGCATCAGCCCCGCCTAGTCAGATTGCATAGTACTCACTGGAGATTCTACCTTCCTCTGGATCTAGGTTCCCTCTTGAAAGCTTGTAAGCCAGTCACTTCTTGCCTTTGTTGCCCCCGCCCTCCATTTTGGGTAGCCAATGTTCAAGTTGCCCATCCCTGTCTACTCTGTGTGTGGAGGGGGTGGGAATGATTCTTCCTGTAAGGACTTGTTCCCTCTTTTGAGCTACTGCTTCCATAGGTGTAGGTCAAGTTCATCAAATTGTATGAGAATACTTTTTTTTTTTT